TCAAATTTAAATCTAGTTCATTAGAATAAAGATCTTCAGTAGGATTAGACAATTCTATGTCTTCTTCTTTCACTAATTTTTCTTCTTCAAATTCTTTAAAAACTGTTTCTGCAATATCAGAATTATTTCAGGAGTTATTTCCATAATTTGAGTATAACGAAGTTGATCTATAGGATTTGATAAATTGAACTGATAAACTTTTGCCAACCCTTCTAATCGATCTATATCTAATTGTGTTCGATGATTTCCATAAATCCATCCTAATAATGAAAAAATTCTTTCGCAATTAGCAGAACTTGGCATAATAGAAAAAGTTTAACAGCCAAGCGTTGCAAATGGTTAGGTTTAGCTTCACAAGTATTCCACCACATCAATGGCGTATCACTACCAATTGTATAAGGGGCAACATAAGGATTTGGATTTCCATTTATATTTTGTTCTTGCTCTTTATAAAAACACAGTTGTGTAATTAAAGCTTCACAACTTTCTTGAGATTTGCCCATTTGTTGCCGTAACTTTCCAGCATAACTTGCAATTAAAGGAAATGTACCAAATTTTAATCCAATACCTTTGTATGCTGGGTGAAAAAATATGTAAGTTGATAAGCAGGATCATTAAATTCTTCAAACCATTGATCAAACTTTCTAATACAATAATTGCAAAATCCTCTATATTCATCAGTAGGAAGATTTTGTATTGCCACAGCAATTCTCATCAAATTAATATAACAGTCAGCAAGTGTAGAACGATTTGCTTTAACTGACAAAATAGCATCCTTAATTGAAAGTAAAATCTCTGAAAGATATTGCATATCACTAAAAAAGCCTCGACTACGGAGAATTGTCAAAATAACAGGATTAAGAATTTCAGAATAATTTTCCTGAATATCCTCTAAACAAACCTTGAGTCGTACAATTGATGAAATGCATTCATGTACTGTTGTCTATCTTGTTTCAATATAGGTTTTAAGACCACCTCCACTAATTTGGTGTACCGAAATTTTTTGTTTTAAAATTGCTGCA